GGGAAAGAGCAGACACAGCATAGGGAGGGGGCATCAGACAAATCCCGGGTAACCTCCCGCACAGCCACAGCGCGCTGTGTTCCCCTGGACGGAGTCTTAGCCTCTCTGACCCTCAGTTCCCACATGCAGGGTAGAGGGATAATAACACCTCCCTCACCAAGAACACAGTCCTTTAAGGACTGAAGTAATGTGTAGTAAAGCACCCAGCACAGCCTTTGACATCACAAATGGTGGCTGTGGTAGTGGTTATATAATTGTGGTCATCCACAGAACAGGAACGGCAGTAAATTGTCCACAAACTAACAAAACAACGACAGCAGCAAAGCAGACCTCACCAGCCTGACCCAGTCGGCTCCCTCTGCCCAAGGATGAGTGTGCTTGTTCTGGGCAGTGCTTTCCCTCCTCTCCAGTCAACAGTCTCCCAAACTGTCAAACCAGAAGGCTGGTGCTGAGAGGAGCTAAAAGCAGCTTCCTACGGTCTGTGGAGAAGCTTCATTGCAGATTAGCATGTGAAAGGATCTGATAAGTCCTGCAGGAGTGAGACTGTTTTACTTTTTAACCCACTTCTCTCCAAATGTGTTGAAACCTGGAACCCTGTCTTGGCTGAACGCTGATTAACATCTTGCAGGGCTTACATCTCAGAATACACAGTTAGGGAACACCACCCCACCTTTGTCTCCCCAGACTGCTGGGTCGTTCATCTGGATTCTCAAATTCTAAAGTTGCAAAATTTTGAGGCCTCGAGGGTCTTGCTTTGGCCAGCCTGGGCCAAGAGGGAAGTTGTGTATCTGCCAGGCTCAGGCAATCCAGGCAGGCCCACCCCCCCTCCATCGCCAGCCATCGCCCCAGATCTGTCCTGGGCAGCAGGTGAGTGTTCTGACCCAGGCCCTCTGGTTGGTCACTCCACAGATACCAAACTGGGGCCCGAGGCCTTCTGGTTTAACTCCGGCAAAGAGGCGGTGGCCACGCAGCTGAGCGAGAGCTACTACATCCTGAGGCCCGAGGTGGTGGAGAGCTACATGTACTTATGGCGACAGACCCACAACCCCATCTACCGGGAGTGGGGCTGGGAAGTGGTGATGGTGAGTGGGCTGGGCTGGGGGAAGGAGGGTGGGGAGGCTTAAACGGGTGGCAGGTGCCCTTGAGAAGTCCCAGTCAGAGTCCAAAACCCCGTGGCTCAGGCGCTGAGAGGAAGGTCAAGCCAGGTTGGCATCTGGCTGAAGTTCAGAAATCAAGGGTCAAGGTTATGGTTGCAGAGCCAGGAATCCCCAGCTGGGCACAGTCAAGCCAGGAACTTGAAGAGGGTTCTGAGGCCCGTAGCCTTGAGGCTCTAGCCCCGGTGCCAACAAACGTAGAGGGGCAAAGGCAGGGCAACAGCCAAGGGGGCCAGAGCACATGTGGTCACTGCCCTCTGACCCTGAAGCCTGGACCAATGCCTCAGATGTCGCCTCTCAAACAGGAACAGCTGCTAGGCCAGCAGCTCCCCTCCCTCCTCTCCCCAGAGCCAGCCCAGCCCCTGGCCACCCCTGCCCTCTCTGGGCTCTCTGCTCACCCACCCACTCACCCCACCTGTCTCTCCTCTTGTCCCCAGCTACCTAGTGGGAAATCTCATGCCCACTTTAGGGCAAGTGTCAAAGGCAGGTGTGGGGACTCTGGAAGGTTCCTTCATGGATGCTGAGCCTTCTCTGTCCTCCCCTCCTTCCCCACCCACTGCTCTCAGAGGCAGGTACTGTCCTGGGAGAGCCACGCCCTGAGCGTCACACTCAGGTGGGCACAGGCCTGCTCAGGATCGTTGTCATGGCTTGCTGGTCAGTCTCTTGCTTCCCTAAGGCCTCATTCTTGGCCTCCGAAGGCCAAGTGTTTGTGCTCCTGGGCCCCATCTGCCAACCCTCAGTGGGTGAGAAATGCATTTCTATGCAAAAGACAGAGAGCCCATGGCCTGCCCACCTGCAGCCCAGGGACCATATCTTCACGGAGAATCCTGGGATGACAGTCCCACAGCCCAGCCACGAACACCACCAGCGCCTTCCTCTGTCCCCACTGGGCAAGTGTGACATCAGTCTATTCCATGAGAGGCAGAGAGAAGCCTCCTCTCAGCTCACACCAGGTGTGGAGCCCGGGCACAGCTCCCCCGTTGGGACTGAGCTGGCGGCAAGCCCCCCAGCCTGGCGGCAGGCATTGAACCTTGAGAATAGCTCCGCCTTCTGCTTCCACAAATGCCAGGAGTCCCCCGTCGAGGGGTCAGGGGCCTGCCTATTGCGAGCTTCGGGGGGGTCCTCTCCTCTCGCCCTACCCAGGCCTTGGAGAAATACTGTCGGACGGAAGCCGGTTTCGCCGGGATCCAAGACGTGTACAGCAGCATCCCCAACCACGACAACAAGCAGCAGACCTTCTTCCTAGCGGAGACGCTGAAGTGAGCCGGGGCTGGGTCACTATTCTCTCCAGCAGACCACGCAGCTCCCAGGGGGCAGGCGGTCAGCAGTCTGTCCCTTCCCCAGAGTCAGGGTCTGCAGTCACAGGAAGGGGGCCCAGGGGGTCGGGCTTGGCATAGTGTGAGACCGCCCCCCCATGGGTGAGCCTTGGGCCAGGCCAGGTTCTACTCAAAGAGTGAGACTGGGTTGGACTCTACCCACTAGCATAGTGAAGTATTAGTTGGGGGACAAGTTCAGTTCTGTAACCTGTCTCCTCAGGTTCCCTAGGTCCATAAAACTAAGCTCCTTCTGCAAAATAACAAGGGCGGTGGTGTCGATATGCTGGTGACTTTCCTCTGCAGGGTTGCTGCACTGTCCCCTGGGCTCCTTGCTGTTCCCCAGAGCAATGCCCTTGAGCCTTTAGGGTGAACTGGAATGGACCATTCCTTCCAATAAAAACCCACGTGGCTTGGGAAGCTGGGGTTCTGGAGTCACCGCTCCCTGTTCATTTTAGTGCCCTCACATGTACTTTATAGAGTCTCCTGAGGGGCACATGGGGGAGAGCCCAGGGCTCAGGCCACCCTGCACAGAAGGAGAAGCTAGGCCACACGGTGCCCTGGCAGGACTCCCAGAGGCCAGGGGCAAAGGGCCTGAATGAAGCTGTTGGGTGTGGGGGCCGGGGCAGGGCCAGGATTAAACCAGGGCTGTCTGCCCCAAGCCCAGTGCGCTTCTCAGCATCACAGCCTCTCCCCTGGGTCCAACCCTCTGAGTGGATTTGGGATCTTGCCCACCCTGCACCGTAGCCACAGGCCTGTGGCAGAGGCCCCTGAGGTTCCTTCCCGGGCCCCTGTTCCCAGAGCACTGACAGCTGTGTCTCGCCCCCTCCCTGCCCGGCACAGGTACCTCTATCTTCTGTTCTCTGAAGATGACATGCTGTCCCTGGAAGACTGGGTGTTCAACACGGAGGCCCACCCACTGCCCGTGAACCACTCGGACAGCGCTGGCAGGGTCGGGGGCCAGCTCTGACCCCAGCTCCCTGCCGCCCGAGCTGCAGGGACGCCTCGCCTTTTCAGGTTTGGGGACTGTTCTCAAAGGGATTGGGAACGCAGGCCCCACTCCAGACAGATGTGCTGGACACGCCACTTCTCCTCTGTGAGGAGACAGGCCCGGAGACAGCGATGTCACACCAGGCCCAGACATTCCTTTCTATGGAGAATTTCTATGAAACCCGCTCAGTGGCCATTCCAGGGCCAAAGGACTGGAGGTTTGCATACCGACCCCGTGTATTTGGTTCACTTCCTTTCGTATTGGGGTTATTTTGGGTTTTGCTTGATTTTGCCTTTTCTCTACAGTTGTGTTTTATCACAAATTATGTTAGTTTTCAAAATCCCGTGCTTTCAAAAACAATCACCTTCATCAACTAAACCTTAAAGTATTTGTACGCGTACAAAAACCTTGACCTTATTTCTATATTTTAAATGCCTCTTGACCAACATTTACTATTCATTCAATTACGTGTCATTTACCTTATAATTTGAGGAGGGGTTCCCCTTTGGTTTGGGTTTAAGTGTTACGAATACTAGTGCTATTTTCATTATTGCAATGGAGAAATCTAAAAACTTACAATAAAAGAGTTTATTGAATAAGAAATACGATTGGGTTCGTTGCACATCAGTGATTCCTGGGAAAACTATTACAATGTTTTCAGAAAAATCAACCAGCAGTTGGTTTAAAGTATAATTTAGTAAATGACTCCAACTTCTATTACCTTCCCTTAAATAAGACCTAATATATTCGAAAAGGGGGAATATCTTTTGAAAGAGTTGGATATTATACTTGGGTCAAGGCTTGGGAGAGGCCCAGAGAGAGGCAGCAACTTGCCTGAGGTCACACAGCCAGTGAAGACAGCAGTGACCCGGCCCCTGTGATTCGCCCACCACCCAGGCCTGTGTTCAGGGGCTCCATCCTTCAGCAGCTGCTCAGGGAGGGCCGCAGGGTCAGACAGGGGAGATGCCAGAGACACCGTCCTCAGGAAGCCCACAAGTCAAGGGCAGAAGCACAGTAAGTGACGTGCCTGTATGTCGTGTGAAATGCGGCAAAGGAGACAAACCGCTGAAGTGCGAATGGCCAGGGCCTATCTTCGCGGTCAAGGAGAGGCTCTCTGGCCAGATAGCCTTCAAGCTGAGACCTAGAAGCTAAGAAGGACAGTGGGATGAGCACCCACAAATCCACTCTCCCCTGTGACCAGCCCCTGCTTCCCTGAAGCCCCCTGAAAGGAATCCAGGCCCCAGCAATGAGGTGAGCGCTCATCTTCCCTCCCCTCTCCCCCTTCTGCAGCTGTCCACACAGCTTACTTCGCAGGGACATGGTGAGCCCTGGGGTGTGGGGCCCGGGGCAGGGGACCTCACCTCTCTGGGCCTTCTTTTCCTGCACCTCCCGTGGTTGCTGTGAGAGCAGGTGGGACGCCACTGGTGCCTGGGGGTGTGGGAAGCGGAGGACAGGGACTCTGGCGTTTCCAGCTGCTTCCACTCAGCAGCCAGAGCTGTCGGTGAGGTCACCGTCGCAGAAGCCCTGGCACTGGGCGAATAAGTCACTGCCTGAGTCCAGCGAGTCACTTCACTCCTGAACCCGTGGCTTTGGTGACTCGCCTGTGCCCACAAGGAATAAACAAAAACTGCCCAACTAGTTTGGTTCAGTGGATAGAGCATCGGACTGCGGACCAGAGGGTCCCGGGTTTGATTCTGGTCAAGGGCACTTACCATACCCTAGTCGGGGCATGTGCAGGAGGCAACCAATGGATGTGTTTCTCTCACATTGATGTTTCTCTCTGTCTTTCCCTCTCTCTTCCACTCTCTCTAAAAATCAATGGGAAAAATATCCTCGGGTGAGGATTTAAAAAAAAATAAAAAAGGAAGGAAGGAAAACAGAAGAACATGTTACCCAAACTCTATAGAAAGGTTAGCAAATAAAGATAAGCTTAAAGAAAAAGCATTCACTGTCCAGCCCTCCAAGGTGAATACCATTATAGTTTCTTCTAGACCCTTTTCTGTGAAATGTGCAGGATATATTTTTTTGTAAATACTATACACCCTGTTTTATTACAATCTGCTTCTGTGCTAAACTGTGCATATGAACATATTTTCATGTCAACAAATATATATTTATCTCATTTCCCTCATGTGCTGTCTCATGCGGTGGGTCTAAGCCCTGATTGCTGGGCATTGGGGTTCTTCGCTGCAAACAGAAGCCAACTCCCTCTGACTTAAGCAATAATAATAATAAATAATAATAACAATAATAATGCCTTGAAATGCCTCGGGGAAGCTTGTGAAATCTCAAGAGAGTGAACAGCCAGACCTCAAGAAGGATGAGGACGAGGATTTGGCCGGGGATCCAGGCTGCGGGAGTCAGGGCAGCCTCCCCAGGCACGCCACCAGGACAGGTGAATCCAAGTGTTTCCAGATCCTGCCTTTTCCCTTTAGGACATGAGCTTCCAATCGGCCTGAGTCATGTGCCCCAGCCAAGGGAGGGCAGGGCATCTTGACTGGAGAAAAAAAATAAGGTTGCTACCAAAATAATAGACCTGTCTACAGGGCTAGGCACCAACAGCAGACTGTTCGAAGGTTTTGCTTCAGTTTTTCAGTATCATAAAGAGAGTAATGAGATCATAGCTGGCCATTCCTTTCCCTCTATCCAACTCCTCAGAGTCAATTCCTGGACTATCTCCCGACTACAGAGTCATTTCCAAGTTCCCCGAGGCCCCAGGCTCCCCGCCGGGCTCGTGTCACTGTCCTCCTCTCCTCCCCCAGCATCTCATCTTCTCCATCTTCTCTGTTACTGCTGGGAGCAAGTTGTAAAAAAGAATATTTTAAAATTCATCCTCCAGGAGGGCCCTTGCAGGTGAAGAAACATCGTCCTTTAGGCAATTTAACTCCATTCCAGGGATAAAAATAAGTAAGACCCAGGGTAGGCTGAGAGGAGAGAGGAATTAAAGGATGAATCATCCTCACGGAAGCAGAATCCAAGCTCCAGAACCAGGCCCTGAGCAGACCCTCCTTCGGAGCCGGGTCAGGGTGATGCTGGGCTCACTGAAGCCTCATTTCTGCCCTCGCTGTGACGGGACCCTTAGCACCTGTTCTCGTCATGTAACAGCTGGATGCTGGTTCCTTCCCAGAAAGCTTCAGTAGCACCTGGCTCCAGGCACTGAGATGCCGGAAGCCAGTCCATCCTTGCTGCTTGACACAGTCGCTGCAGGGAAGAAACATCTGCACAGCATATGTTTCAAGGGACCTGGCGTATATGGCATACTGTTCTTAATATGTTTGCTCCCCTTCTTGGCGCTGTGTGTTTTAACCAAGGTCACCTCTCCGAGAAAGGTTGTTTCCCCAGGTAGGGATTTCCCCCTGAAGTTCGGGAGGGAATAAAACCCTTTAACTAAGTGCCAGGCGGGTAATTAATCACTTTAACTATGAACAATCACGCTTAAGCTACATAATCTACTCCCTGGAATGGAGATAAGAAACGCCCTAACCTTTGGAATAGAAACTGCCAGGATTAAAATCAACTGATATAAATACAGATGTAACAAGACAATAAAACACAGAACTTGGCTGGAGATCCTGGCTAGAGATCCTGGCTAGGCTGCTGATCAACTGAATGCTGTCTCCGTCCACACCTTTGGGAGCCTCTGGACCTGATGGGGCTGGACCCCAACACTGAGACCTGCAGAGCATCACACCCCTGGAAGAGGGGACACGGTCCTTTTCCAGATGTCTCCCTTTAAGTTACTGTTTGCTTCTTCGGACTGGCTTCACGCACCACATTGTGTTTGGCAAGTTACAAAGTTCAATAGCCAAATGCATTGGAAGGAAAAGCAGAAACAGAACATATTATTTAAAGACAACATCCCTGAGATCCAAAATGGGATTCTCTGTTCTGTTCCCTGTACTTTGGGGAGGTCACCCTTCGTGGTTTGAGAAGGTGCTGGAGATGGGAAATGGGCCAGCTCCCTGCAGCTGCCCCTTTGGGGTCTATCCCTAAAAACACACTCCGATGCCTTTTATTTTGTATCTAAAAATATCTGTTTAGTTTCTTCTATTTGGGACAATATTTTTATCCCACTCGGCCTGTCTCTTAAATCAGAGCTTCTCAAACTTGAATGTGCACCTGAACCATCCGGGGATCTTGTTAACATGCAGGTTCAGCCCTAGCCGGTGTGGCTCAGTGGACAGAGCGTCAGCCTAGAGACCAAAACGGTTCCGGGTTCGATTCTGGTCAAGGGCATGTACCTAGGTTGCAGGCTCCTCCCAGCCTGGGCCTGGTTAGGGGAGTGCAGGAGGCAACCAATCAATGTGTTTCTCTCACATCGATGTCTCTGTCTTTCCCTCTCTCTTCCACGCTCTCTAAAAATCAATGGAAAAATATCCTTGGGTGAGGATTTTTTTTTTAAATGCAGGTTTGTATTCAGTGGCTCTGGCATGGAGCCTAAGACCCTGCACTTCGAACAGCCTGCCGGGAGATGCGGGTGCTGCGGGCCCTAGGACCGCACTTGGAGTAGCAAGGCCACTCCGCTGGCGTCTGCCTTGTGTTTGCATCCTGGAGTTGTAACCTCTCCAGAGTAGAACAGAGGGACTTGGATGCTGGGATGGCATCTATAGGTTCCTCGGCTGCAGAAGAATCGACCTTGAAACATGCGTGGCTATTGCCTCCTCCAGGGCAGTCAGGATGAGAAAGGAGCAGGCTTGCTGGTGGCTGGGAACCACGCTGCCCAGTGAGCTTTCTGTGACAATGGACATGTCCCATATCTGTGTGGTCCAGTAGGATAGCCACATGTGGATGTGGAGCGCTTAAATGTGGCCAGTGCAACTGAGGAACAAATTTTTTTTTAATATATTTTTATTGATTTCAGAGAGGAAGGGAGGGGGAGAGAGAGAGAGAGAAACATCAATGATGAGAGAATCATTGACCGGCTGCCTCCTGCACGCCCTACACTGGGAACTGAACCGTGACCTTCTGGTTCATAGGTCAGCGCTCAACCACTGAGCCCACTGGCCAGGCTGAGGAAGGAAATATTTGGTTTTGTTTCATTTTAATTAACTATGAATAGCCATGCGTGGTTCCTGGTCGCCGATCTGGACAGTGCAGTCTTAGAACTTAGAAAGCCTGTCCTCTGCTCACTGACTCCCTGGCCCTCCACCAATGGCATCATTACAAAAATAATCTTCCCTTGAACATACCTGGTTATTTTTATACTCATCCCAGCCTCTGATTGTTTTCTGCAAAAGCCCCTGGTTTTATTTTGTTTTGTTTTGTTCTCACGCACTGTCTGTCTGCAGACCACTGTGCTCACTGTGCATTAGGGCAGGTTGGAGATGAGAAAAGCAGAGTGGCAGGACGGAAGAGACCAGAACAGGGTGAAACCTTTCCCTGGGCTGTGTGACCTGAGGCAAGGCGCTTAACCTCTCTGAGCCTCTGCTTCCCCATCTGTGGAAAAGGAGGGTGATTTCCAGGGTTGAGCTCCCCAGCGTAGAAATCCAATACATATAGTAATGATTGCTCTATGTGAATGTCCTTTGTAAACTATAAAGCCTTGTGAAAATATGAGGCAAAACATTGCTGTCAAAATTCTTTTTTTTTTTATTAAACAAAATGCTCTGAAACCTGAAGGAAGCTGCGTCAACCAGGCCCAGGAGACAGACCAAACTCTCAAAGCAATAAATCTGAACATTTTATGCCTTTCGCATTGAGCAGGCATCTTGTCGTTGGCCCTGAATCTATGAAATTGGGAGGAAGATTTGTTGACTGTCCCAGGGCTTCCAGGGGCCGGCCTGGCCTTGGGGGGTGCTCAGGTCGGGGTGGAGGGTTGAAGGAAGATGCTGAGAGCGTGCCCAGGGATCTAGCTGAGAGGTGTGTCTGCTCTGGGGGAAGGTTGAGGTGCAATTCATATTTCCTCTTCATGGAGTCTGGAGTCTTAACAAATCCCACAGGCAAAGGTTCACAGAGGAGGAAACCGCGGCCCAGAGAGGCCTGCTCAGGTCTAAGAGCGGCTCTTGGCCTCTGGGCAGCTCTATGGAAGCCCAGAGCTGAGCCCCAGGGGTGACCCTTTCCCCAGAGGCTTGTAAACGCACCCATCCCAGCACCCGCTGACCTTCCCAGTCCCAGCAGCGCATCTCTCCAGCCCTGGGTCCAGAGACCAGCAGGGTGTCTGTGTCTTTAACCAAAAGCAAGTGTAATAAATAAAAGTTATCTGGTAAAGAAAACTTCCCTCATTTGTTTTCCAGGGGCTTTGGCTCATCAATCTTCCCCTCCTAACCTGCTTTGTGCTCTGTTAGCTTTGCTTCCTGACAGAACGGAATTTGCTTTGCTAATGGCATCTGCCCTATGCTGGGTGTCCCCAAACGTTAATGGTAACGAGCTGGAAGTGGCCCAGTTGGAAGCCAACACCAGATGCCAGGCCCTCAGCGGGTGCCACTGAGGCTGGGGGGCCAGAGCACTGGGCAAGGGCTGGGTCCAGCGCCCACAACTCCTGGTCCCTGGGAGTCACTCATCCAAAAGACATTGGCGTGCCCACCACGTGCCAGGGGCCCTGCGTCATGGTGCTGTCATGGCCGGTGACCCATGAAGGACAGGAGTGATGGGAGAGGCCAGCCCCTGCCCCACGCAGTCGCAGTCGGCTGGGTCATCCCCTGGAAGATAAGCATGGCAAGAGATTTGACTCGGACAAACCCACGCGCCAGAACTCAGTCCCCTGCACTTTAGAAGGAGGCAAATCATCCTCACCTCACCCGGTGGCTGGAGAGCAAAATGAGACCGCGTGGGGCACGCAACAGCCAGGGCCTTGCACAGGGGGTGCTTGGTGCCTGCTAAACCCCGCTGACCTCCCACCCCTGCCAGGTGCACCAGCAGGGGCTTGGCATCTCCAAGGACGGCGCTGCCCCCCTGGGCTCCGTTCTCTCCAGAGGCTGCCCTCTCCTGGGAAAGTGCAGACAGAGCTCCCAGCTCCTGGGGGCCTTGACATGAATGAGGAAGAGAGCAGCCAGTGGATCCGGGGTCCTGGGGACTTGACAGACAAAAATATTTCCTCCACCTCCATCCCCAGGTCACTCCCCAAGCATGCCCATGCCCAAAGCTGCTCTCCAGAAAAACCGCCAGTGCCACGCAGGCCAGCAGAGTGTGTGTGTGTGACCGGGAGAATGACTCACAGCCCAGCCGGCCAGGTGAGGGTGCCCTCCTCACCCCCCACAGAGAAGCTTCTGGACTCCTCCTGGCCCTGGCAGGTGAGGGTGCCGTGAACACGTGCTCTCCATCCCCGTCCATCCCAGAGGTGGCCTTCCAGCTGCACCATGACGGAGTAAGCCTGGAACTCTGCCATTTTTCTAGCTGACATGTTAGAAGTGAGCGGGATAGGAGTGGAGAGGGGCTGCCCATCTGCTGCTGGACGGGCAGGGCCAGGGAGGTGGACACGAGGCCAGGGCCCAGGACCCCGCTCCCCAGGAAGCC